TAATTGGTCGTCCTCTAACCAGTCAGACAGTGTGTGGTTGATGTGTAATAGAGAAAGTGCTGCACTGTATGAATAAGCGTGAGTAGGTTAACGGCAAAAACTGTACTGTGAAAAACTTTGGGTGTTATCAAGACTAAAAAAGCTCTGTATAAATACATACCATTTACCGTTTTACCTATTTTACGAATTACCATCCAATGGTTATTGTTCTCAGTCAAAAAGATGAATTAGTCAAGCCCGTAAATGTGAAGCAGTTAGACTCCGTTCAATATTTGTGTGTCTGTTTCCACAGAAAACTGGCTAAATCTACCCTCGTCCTTGTTCTGGTGTTTGGAATCCACTACATCATCTTTGTGGGGATGCCTCATACGTTTGAGGGGCCGAGCTGGGAGGTCCGCATGTATTGTGAGCTGTTCTTCAACTCATTTCAGGTACTTACTGTCATCCTTTCACTTTCCCAATATGTGTCTGTGTCGCACTGTGGCTGCGGCTTTAACTGTGTAGAAGTTAACGCCTGTTCATCATCTGTTTAAATTGATGTTATTTTAAATCTCATCAGAGTCAGAATCAAGTCTTCATATTCAGTGCGGCAGAAGCAGCTCAGTAACGAGTTTGAGTCCGAATTTGTCCCTAAATTATGTATGTGGGTGGGATCCTATCATCACCTATAAAACTCACTATATTTTTTTTCAGCTTGGCCAAAAACAAATCTATATTTCTGAATCATGTTGCAAAATTAAAAGTAATGGGTCACACATCTTGAATAAAAACCCCAAGATCCTTTCTCTCTCCTCATCTTCAGGTGAAAATGAGTCATTATTCATAATGCACCCTTTAATGGATAAATATATCATATTCACAAAAACAAGACAAGCACTGAGGAGCACAGAGAAGTCACAAACAGGATGTGTGACTCAAGCAGAATCATTATCCAGAGAAAATGATATAAATGAGGAGCAGAGACTCCAGATTGGAGCAGTGAACCAGCTTTGGAGGGAAAATCACAAATAGATCATGTAACTAAGTGTTTGTCAGAAGATATATCATATTAATCACTTTACCCAAAATGTCTGATCCATGTATAACTTTGTAACTTCAGTGTAGCCCTGGTCATCCCTGGAATTAACATGTGTTTGGGATGAACCAATCACACATGCTTTTAAGTACATCACTTCACATCTGGTGTT